TATGAACATTGGCACAGACTTTACTGAAACGTACATGCTTCACAGAATGCAAAAGCTGGGACTGCAATGTAAAGGGACTCTTGTCTCTTCTCCCTCATGCTGGTTTCCCACTGAAAATCTTACTTCTCAAGCTGCTTTTTGTTCCAATGGGGAAAAGATAATGGGTATGCTTGCGTAAGTCTTCCCCAGTGGAAGTAAAAGTAGCTTGGGTGTGTCAATTTTCAGCTGAAAAATGGTTTGAGAGGAAAAAGTTAATTAGTGCCTCACCCCACATGCCTGCCTTCCCCTTCATATGCAGTTTTACATAGAATTAAGCCCCACTCCATTCAACAGCACTCAGTCCCAGGTAAATGCAGAGAGAAGAGATTGGATTTATATCCCACCCTTCACTACCCAAAGGTGTCTCAGAGCGGTTTACAAACTCCTTTCCCTTCCCCTCCCCACAACAGACACCCTGTGAGGTAGGTGGGGCTGAGAGAGCTCTTGACAGAAACTGCTCTTTTTTCAAGAACAGCTCTTATCAGAACTTGCCCAAGGTCATCCAGCCAGGTGCAAGTGGAGGAGTGGGGAATCAAACCTGGTTCTCCCAGATTAGAGTCCACGCACTTAACCACTACACCAAACTGACTTCTGCATGCAGAGGACAGCATGCCATAGTTAATCGTTTATAATGTATCATCTCATTTCAATTTTTATTCTTCATGGCTCTATCTTTTACTTTACTTCCCCTCATCTATCTTGCTCCGATTCATTCTAGACATCCTGGCTCAGGTAAACCACAGTTCGCAGTTACATCAGAACCACCAGATTATGGTTTGTTTTTGCCCTCCAAAGCAGGACAGGCACTTCAAACTATGGGTTTCCAACTGTAATTTGGAGCAAATGAACCCAAGGTTGGAATCAACAGCCAAACCATGGCTGTTTGACTTATTACATCTGAATCAGGCCAACGTATTTGATAGTCATGATTCCATTTTAAAAGATTACAAGAGTGCACTTTAACTAAAATGCCTATATTACATTTACAGAATGGATTCATTCCATCCTGTTTTCAGCTGACTGTGTAGGCTGGCAGCCCAGTAGCATGCTAGCTAAACCAGTAATCCCACTGGCTTCAACAGAACTTTCTTGAGAGTAAGTGTAGATCAGATTGCAGCCGTAGACGTACACACTTGAGCATGCTGATGTGCCCATGCAGATAACCCAAGGGCTCCTCAGCTAGTTCAGGCAGTTCCATTTACAGTGCACAGAAGCTGAAGATCAGGAAACAGAAGTTTGGCAAAATGAACAAAGCATGAGTGATCACTCCCTGTGCTGAGACTTTTAAGACACAGAAATCCTCCCAAACACCATCCCCACGTCTGGGGAAGGCAATCATTTTTGGAAAACACTCCAGAGACTTAAGGCTGTAATATGGGAAATTGTCCTAACATCCTAAAGATTATTTGTAATCTTTAATTTTCCTTTAATACATAACAAAGACCTTTCAAGAAAGGCATTAATTGGAAGTCTTGACACTTTTCCAACTGCATCTACATTATTTACAATCGTCCATAAACCCACTCTCATCCCATGCAACACCATCCACGCTACTTCTGCAAAGCTTGAAAAGGGAACACTCAGAACATTCTACCGTTTGCACGGCAGGGAGAATATTAGAGAAAGAGAAAAGGCACCTGAAGCCAAACAGATGGAGAGCAGTGTGTTTATTTTAAGGCAAGAGCATTGCGATAATAGAGTTAGAAGTGGTTATTATTTATTTATTTATTTGATTTATACCACGCCCTCCCCGCCAGGACAGGCTCAGGGCAGCTATGCTTAGCTCACTTGTTGTATATTGAGCACGAGAAGCAAAACACAGGATGCATACAGAAAAAGCTGCCTTATATAGATTCAGATCTTTGGTCTCTACCCTGCCTGGAAGCAGCTCTCCAGGGTCTCCAGCCGAGGCCTTTCACATCACCTACTCCCTGGTCTGACCAGATCCCAGAGAATGACCTCTTTCCCCAAAACTTCCACACACAAATCAGATGCTCTACCACTGAGCTAAGGGCCCTGGCAATAGGGGGTACACAAAAAACCACAGCACAAAAACATATGATGAGATGTTTTTCATAAGCCTCATTTCTGTGAATGAGAAATAGTTTATACAACTAATCATGTTGTTGAGTTTATGCTGATGGCATCCATGTAGTGTCTGGTGTGTGCTGTGGATCTCATCTAGCTGTTTCAGCACATGCCTATGTTATCTTATTACATCTGAACCACATTTACTGTGACATCACAAAGCTGGACATAATTTTTGCAAATTTTAAGGGTTCAAATGATAAGTTTGGCATATGTAATAAAGCTGATCATTTCAACATTTAACCACAGTAGTTCTCACAAACAAGAGATAAGGAAGGAAACAGTTTCTTCAGTGCATTCCTTCAGACTGTGGGGACTCATGATTAAATGCTCCTCCATACATACAATGCAAACAAACAACACTACTGCACACCAAAACCTGAATGACATCTAAAAGTATTTTAGCCTGGTTTTCTCGCTGACATCTCATTTTCTGTATGCATGTAATCCTACTGTATGAAGGAGCATTGTCAGATCTGAAGAGTACCACCTTAGCTTCTGGTATAAGACCTAGGTCTGAACAAGAAGCTGACACCTTGAGGTTCTAGAGAGCAGAAGCCTAGTATTGTAAGAACAATGTTGGGGAAACGCTATAATACTCCCAAGAAGCCATGGGGCTACAATAACTCACATCTTATGAAAGGAGATGCTCTAGTTCACAACATTCCACAATGTTATGACACAACAAAGCTGTTCTCTGAAGGTACAAGAAGGCTCCTTTTTGAAGGAAAAAATGTTCAGGAAGCAACACTTTCGGTGTACTTATAACATACACAGCATGACACTTCAAGAATATTTAAAGACTGGGGATGAGGATTAATAAAACCACATCATGCAGCGTATATTAGTACATATTATTGACCACTGAGGAAGACCCTAAAGGCCGAGATGTGTATGGTCTTGTTGGTCATTTGATATATTCATCAACTGTGTATGTAAAATCATCTACTTTGTATGTGAAATTACTACAGCTTCTGCAAAACTCATGTTGATGTTCTATGTAGTCTGATGTTCAGACCTTATGTGTTTAATCTTCACCACCATATAATACATATTTGGTAATATTTTAAATAGTTTGACCCTTGCAACATTACAGATATGTTTTGGGTTGAGTTCATTTTCCCCTTTTCCTTCGTTTGGTTTGGTGTAGTTAGAAACTGCCTTTAGAGACCTTAAGAGTCAGTTGGTTGAGTTCATTTCCCACTTTTCCTTCGTTTGATTTGATGTAGTTAGAAACTGCCTTTAGAGACCTTAAGAGTTTATTTCCCCCTTTTCCTTCGTTTGGTTTGGTGTAGTTAGAAACTGCCTTTAGAGACCTTAAGAGTCAGTTAAAAACTCAAGACGAGTATTGGTGTTTCAAGTATGGGTCTGGGTATGGGAAAGA